CAGCCCCCAACAACCTCAAGTGTCAAATCCCCACGCCTTGAGAGCCCCAAAGGGACACGCATCCCCTGAAACCACACGTGAGAAAACCATCCCACCCAGAGGCATGCCCAGCTCCAGTCTCCTCCCATGTGCAAATTCAAGCGTCATCGAAAATAAAGCCTTGTCGAAAAAAAGCTCCTAACTTTTTTAGCTGGCTCCTGGATTCAAAGCAAATTTGTCAAGCCCTTTTTGATTTCAATGCTGCACTGCTCCGGAATTAGAGTGATTTGCCCCTCTCATATAGAATGTGTCTGCTTGCACTGTGGTGGGATAGGAAAGTTGCAGGGGGTGTGGCTATCAGCATTGGTTCAGTCTGCAACTTGTCAATCATCACCTGGTCACACCTAGTCCTGCCCACTGCTTTCTGGATTAGCAGTACTGTCTCTGTTACTGGAACCCTCCCATTGTGAGCTGCAGTGTCCTGGAGGGGGTGGGTGTGAGACACAAATGAAGCAGGATTTGACTCGCTCAGGTAAAGGAAGTTTTTTTTAAATTTTATAAGCCTTGTACATTACATAGTACTTAGTAGTGATGGGTGTGATGTTCGAGTCGAACATAAGTTCAACTCAAATATCTACCGTTCAGTGAACACACAAACCGTAAGGGACTGTTAGCTCACCGCGCCCCACAATGCACTGCGCCCTGACAATGCATTATGATTAACCAAAGCAATCCATCTGACTGCAGGTCAGGTGCAATGCTTTGGCCAATCACAGCGCATGATGACTTTACAAGGGGGCAGGGGTGACACCGCTCCATTGTTACGTCATCACAGGATTTAAGAACCATCATCTCCCAACGCAGCTGTCAGATGGTGGGAGCCAGCATTGAGAGTGGAGTGGTATTTTTTTTTCTTTTATTTGGGTAAGTGGTGGTGGCGGGCATCATGATTGACGTTGGATTTACTTTGGGGGTCATTTTTTTAAATTTTGTTTTTAATAAAGGATTTGTCAAATACTGTTCGCTGCCATAGTGGCTAGGCCTTGACACGGAGAGGCCACATATTTGCATACCCAATGTAAACAAAGTGCCAAGTGTGCAGTCCCAGCAAGAAGGTAAGTATAACATGTTGTTGTTATTTTTTTTTATTGCCTTTAATATCACTTTAACTGTTAATAAAATAGAAACAAAAAAAATAGCAGGAAAACAATAATTGAGTGGAGAATGGAGAAGGAGAATAAGGAGTTAATTAGGGCTGATTAGCGTAAACTAAGGGTTAATAAGGGGTTAAATAAAGAAACATTTTATTTTAAGAAAAAAAAATTTTTTTTTTTTTTACTTGTCAGGTTGCTTTAACTGACATCATCTACAGATCAAAGTTTGTCCCTTTTGATCTGCAGATGAATGATCAGAGTAGATACAAAAGTAACATGATGTTACTTTGTATAGCCTCTGAGCAGTTTGTTGACAAACATTGTCAGGCTGTTTTTGTTTGTTTTTACAGCTGCAACTGCAACTTTTCAGACCTTCTCTGTGTACACAACCGCTTCCCCTATAGTAGAAGTAGTGCCACAGTGCATAGCAGAGAAATACAAAGCAGCATATCTCTTTAGTAAAAAACACACAGCACATCATGTAAAACAGCACACAGTTAACCCTTTGATCGTCCCAGATGTTAACCTCTTTCTGCCCAGTGTCATTAGTACAGTGTCAGTGCTTTTTATTAGCATCGATCACTGGGATGTCAGTGGCAGTTAGTCAGTTCCCCCCAGTGTCAGAATGCCCACCGCAGTCCCGCTATAAGTTGCTGAATGCCTCCATTACTAGTATAAAAATAAAAATTCCAGTATGTATACCGGCATTTGTTAACGCTATAACTTTCACGTAAAACAATTAATTTTACATGTATTTGGATTTTTTTTTTTTTAGCAATGATATGTAGCAGAATACATTTTGGGCTAAATTTATGAGGACATTTGATTTTTACATTTTTTTTTTATTGGGTATGTTTTATAGGAAAAAGTAAAAAATGTTGTTGGGCTTTTTTTGTTTATAGCGCAAAAAAAAAAAATAAAAAGGAGAAATGATCAAATACCACCAAAAGAAAGCTATATTTGTGGGGAAAAAAGGACATCAATTTGACTGTGCAATTGTCAGTTGTATCGCAAAAATTGGCCTGATCAGGGAGGGGGGTAAATCCTCTGGAGGGCAAGTGGTTAAAGTAGTGAGGTTGTAACATTAATTAAAAAGAGAAAAAAAAAACAGGTTTATACTTACCTGCTCTGTGTGCCCCTGAACCGCCTCTTCTTTGGTCCCCCGTTGGCACTCCTAGCTCCTCTTCTCTGTTGAGTGCCCCCATAGGAAGCCACTTGCTACAGGGGCACTCATGCAGGCTTGCTCCCAATTCCTGCTGTCTGCGTCATCACTGGCTTTGACTGATAGCAGTAGGAACCAATGACTCCTCCTGCCTCCTGTGAGGGGAAAGAAGAACTAAGGGGGGAAGGGGGAGATGTTGATGCCTAAACATTTTTTACCTTAATGCAAGGAATGCATTAAAGTAGTTCTAAAGTCTCAAGGTTTTTTATAATGCATGAAGGTAAAAAAAACCTTCTGTGTGTAGCAGCCCCGCTAACACTTACCTGAGCCCCCTCTTGATCCAGAGATGTCCACGGGAGCCTCAGTTCTCCAGGGACTCTCACTGCTGATTGGCTGAGGCAGCAATTGGAGCCATTGGCTCCCACTGCTGTCAATCACAGCCAGTGAGCCAATCAGGAGAGGAAGGAGGTAGGGCCAAGCTGTGGCTCTGTGTGGGAATGGACACGAAGAGCAGCGGCTCGGGAGCACACCTGCTCAGGTGCCCCCATAGCAGCTATGAGGGCACCTGACAGGAGGGATGAGCCAGGAGCATCGGAGTGTGGGATCTGAGAAGGGGATCCGGGCAGCTGTGTACAAAACCACTGCACAGAGCAGGTAAGTATAATAGGTTTGTTATTTTTAAGGAAAAAAAACCAAGACTTTAGTATCACTTTAAGATAAAAAATGCTTAGGCTTTGTAACCACTTTAATCCTGGGTTTTGATTACTCAAAGTCGAGTTGTTGTGTATTGGGATGGGGGAGCAGGGAAAAGGACTGGATATGCTACACATGTCCTGTGTACAATGATGCCTTTTTTTTTGGACACTTGTAGCATGCCCAAGGTCTGGAACTAGTTATAGGGGAAGACTGCTGCAGCAAAGAATAAGGTAAGAATACCACTTTATTCATCATCCCCAAAGGAAAATGAACAGTTAACTCTTGCAGTTTTAAGGAGGACACATCGCAATGGTAAATCTTTTCTTCTTTCTCTTAAACTTGGCTTTAAAACAAGTCTTCATTTACCTCTTTAGCCATAGGCATTGTGGAGAAATTTGCCATTAAAGTTCAGAAAAGAGGGAACTCTATGAAGCGCAAATTTTGGTTGGCTGCCAGCCCTCTAATGTAAAAAGACAGAAGCTGTTTCTAAGCTGTTAAATACAAAACCAGCTTTAGGGCCTATTTACATTTGGGCACTGTGTTACGATGCGTTGCATTAAGGCAGTCTATTCAACTGATTGGGTTGCCTAGTAGGTGCATGTAGTATTTCTGGCAGAGAACTGCACTGTAATGCATGTTCATTGAAAAAAGTGCATTGAGGTTCTATTCAAAATGAACGGCACACATGTAACAGTCTTTGGTATAGTAATTGTAGTGATTTTTGAGGAGCTTTTGTGAATAAATGAAGTCACATTGCAAGCAGCTAGAGAGGTCATAGATGACTTTTTTAAAGTATAACTAAAGGCAAAACTTTTATTGAAGTTTTGGATAGAGTTGAGGGGGATTAGAACACCTATCAGGTTTTTATTGCTGTCTGTATCCCCAGTAGGGAGATTCACCCTCTCTATTTGTCCTGTTTACCATTATCGTTGAAAGTGAAAGTAGAAGAAAACCCCAAATTGTGGATTGTCCCCAAAGAGTAATAGAGAGGAAATGGGGACACTAGTTCTGATGACCTGGGGGTCCCCAAGGAATTCCCGTGTCCCTTGCCTGTTTGGTTATGGTACAGAAAGGGGGAAATCTCTGCAATGGTACACATGGTGAAAAAAAATCTGACGTGTTATAATAACCCTCCTTTTGCTCTATCCAAAATGGAATATAAAGTTTTGCCTATAGTCCTACTTTAAGGTTCTCTAGCTGCTGGTTAAGATTGTTAAAAATATAAAGTCCATAGTCTTATACTTGCCCTCCAGAGGATTTACCCCCCCCCCCCCCCTCTTGACCAGGCCATTTCTTGCAATACAGCACTGCGTTACTTTAACTGACATGCAATGCTGTGCATAAACAAAATATTATGTCCTTTTTTCCCCACAAATAGAGCTTTCTTTCGGTGGTATTTGATCACCTCTGCATTTTTTATTTTTTGCGCTATAAACAAAAAAAGACTGACAATTTTGAAAAAAAAAACTATATTTTTTACTTTGCGCTATAAAACATATCCATTAAAAAATTAGAAAAAAAAATCGCATTTCATCGTAAATTTAGTCCAAAATGTATTCTGCTACATGTCTTTGTTAACAAAAATCCCAATATGTGTAAATTCATTAGTTTACGTTAAAGTTATAGCGTCTACAAATGGCGGTATATATACTGGCATTTTTATTTTTATTATTTTTATACTAGTAATGGCGGCAGTCAGCAACGTATAGCGGGACTGCGGCGGGCATTCTGACACTGGGGGGGGGACTGACTAACTGCTACTGACATCCCCAGTGACACTAATACAGTGATTAGTGCTACTAAAAAGCACTGACACTGTACTAATGACACTGGACAGGAAGGGGTTAACATCTGGGGCGATCAAAGGGTTAACTGTGTGCTGTGTGTGTTGTTTGTGTGTTTTTTACTATTAACTATTTCTCCTGTCAGCAGCTTATTGTCCATGGCAGCTTGATGATATTTAATTTTCATGTTCAATTAACATTATCTTTTGTTTATTTGTTTTATAGTTTTGGTTGCAGAAGTTACAAAACATTTTATTCCCAAGATTGTTGAAATACACAACTACATTCCTGCAAGCTCAACCCAACAGAAACTATGCAACTGGACAACTTTAAATCGGTAATGTAAAGCTCATGTTTATAAATGGAATAAATATTATAGACAGCGTAGATGGAACCAACTTAAAGTAGTATTACACCCAAAACCAAAAATGTCATATTTTACAGCCTAACAATGATTAGATGTGATGGCCGCATTAGTTTCCTTTTTTTAGGCTTTTTTGTCTCTGTTTTTACCTGGTGATCTGGCTAGTAACACACCTCCTGTATTAGAGTGCCTCCACTCTGGATGAATGAGCACAGGGAATGCCTTTAGATGGCGGCATGTTCAGTCTTGGGGAGGAGAGTGTTAGACGTACTAGCGAATTTATTACACTAACAAATTAAACCCAAACTCCAGGTAATACTTTATAATCAGTTATAAACTGTTTTTTTTTTCTTTTGAGGTAAAGGCTTTAGATGCATAAATAAAAGCTAATCATTGTAAGCACCCCTGCTAGTGTTAAATGGTTTTTTTCATCTCTGTAACTGATACATTCTGCTGGAGAACCAGTTCTTTTGAAAAACAGCCTTACTGACTGGACCACCAGATGAAAATAGAAGAAAGAAAACTAATGCAGCCATCACATCTAAGAATTGGTAAGCTGCAATATAACAAGTGTCTGCTTTTGAGTGTAATACCACTTAAACTGTTACTGTTACATTTTTTATTAACTGTAACAATTATGGTTGTAACAAAAAAAAATGACATCTTCTTAAAGTGTAACTGATTCACTTTCATTTTGAATAGAGTAAGGGAGGGGTTATAGCTCTTGTCAGGATTTCTGTTCTTTTTCTGTTCACTCAACATTTGGGATTGTCACTGGCTAGGTTCACACCTATGCAGTTGTCCGTTTCTGCATTTCGTTTTGTGTTTCTTGCACCTGCGTTTTTGATGAGTTTTGCGTTTTTTTTAAATTTTTCTTGTTGCTAGGAGGATTTAAAATGCAAAGCGCATAAAAAATGCAGGAAAAACTCAATACATGCTTTTCTGCATCGTTTCCTTTGAAGTCTATAGAACCAAAAATTCAACTTTTTGCGTTCAAACAAGTTTTACCTTCAGTTATACTTTAACATTTATTTTCCCATGTAACAATTTTATCAAAATACCAAATAAGAAAAGCTTTGTACCTAAATTGTGCCCCATCCCATAAAAAGAGTGGTAACAACAGATACTGAATTCCACCTTCCTGTGATGCAAGGATTGCATCCCTCGCTGGCCACGGTCATCTTCTATCTGGACTAATTCCAGGTGGTGAGTTTTAAGTCTCTTGAGTGGCCGGTGGGGGAGTTTTAGAGGCAGGAAAAAAAACTACGCCTGAAGCCCCTAGAAGCAGCTGCAAAAACTTCCAAAGTGCATGAAGCCTCTGTATTATAACTGCAATATTACTTTGGGAAAATAAAAGCATTTCTTTGTGTGATAAATTGCTTATTGTTGATGGGCTCCATGTGCAGCACATGAAATAAAAGAAAACATTGGGGATAAGTATGGCCTGTGCTAATCCTCAGGAGAACATGGCTCTCTTTGGTAGGGGTATGTGCAGTCAGCATTTCTCCCACTGAGTCCTAAGTATTTTAAGCAACAAAATTATTATGGTTTAGGACAGGGGTTTCCAAACTTTCTAAAGAAAGGGCCAGTTGACGGTCTTTCAGACTTTGGGAGGGCTGGACTGCAGGAAGTCAGAGAAAAAAAATGTCCTGGCTTCACTGGGAGTAAACAGTGCCCGATTTTTGGAATTAGGGGAGGTATAGTACCCCATCGCTGGTGTCATTGGAAGGAATAGTGCCCCATCATTGGTGTCAATGGAAGGAATTGTGGCCCATTGGTGTCAATGGAAGGAATTGGGGCCCACTGTTGGTGTCAGTGGGAGGAGCAGTGCCCCACCATTGGTGTTAATTGGAGGAATGGTGCCCCATGGTTGGTGTCATTGGAAGGAATTGTATCCCAGTACTGGTGTCAGTGAGAGGAATTGTGCCCCAATGTAGGTGTCAGTGGACTGAATAGTGCCCAACTGCTTGTGTCAGTGGAAGGAATTGTGCCCTATCGTTTGTGTTTTTGGGAAGAATTGTTCCCCATCAGAGAGAGAAATCATGCCTAATCATTGATATCATTGGGAGGACTAGTGCCCCATCAATGGTAATATTGGGTGGAATTGTATACTATCATTTGTATAAAAGGGAGGATTTGTGCCCCATTGTTGGTGTCAGTGGTAGGAATGATATCCCATTGTTGGAGTCAGTGGATGGAATAATGCCACATCCAGCCCCCTGGCCACAGTTTGGAGACCACTGGTTTAGGAGATTAGTTAATTTGCATATTGCAAGTTCTCCTAACTTCAGAAATGTAGATAAAATAGTTCTAAAAAATAACTAGATAATGACAGGTACAGTAAAGACATATACAAATACAACCATTAGAACCTTGAAAGGGGTTAAGGAGGTGTACATACTTATGACATTCTGTATATTTGAAAGGTATGCATAGCCAACATTTTTTATGTAGGTAGAGTAGGTCGCACTGCAGAGATTTCCCTTCACTTCCTCTCCCGTAGAAGGAAGGGAATTCCTCTCTTGGTTGTCACCAGAACAGGTGTCCCTATTGGAAGAATTTCTCTAATCCAGTAGTTGTCAATTTATGAGCTAAAGGGGGTCTCGAATTGTCCCTGACATCACCATCGGGCAGTACTTAATGTTCATTGCATGTAATGTTTGAGATGACTGTCAGAAACTACAGATCTAATAGAGGAAATGAGGGTCAGAGAGTGTAGAAAGGATACATTGTTGGCTGGGGATATGCAGCAGAAGACAATATGTAACTGGGAACATGTTACATGAGACTAGTAGAGATCAAAGCTCTTATTTTAATCAATCAATATTCCCACTACAGACTGCTGAGGTCCGAGGAATGCACTTCATATACCAAAGGGCCACAGGTTGGGCACCATTGATCTAATCTAATATTCTGGTGATAACTTTCTGTGCTTTCTGTCCCTGGACTGTTATCAGTTCTCAATCTTTCCGCTATCTCCATGGATTACAAAACACTTCCCTATAATGGAGAAGAGAGGGAGGTGTCATGCTAGCATAGGAATTGCACATGAAGTGTGTAAATGGTAGGCTAACCAGGTGAAAACAAAGAAAAAACTGTAAAAAAGAAAACTAATGCGGCCATCACATATAAGGACTGGTAAGCTACAATGCTATCAATTTTTGTTTAGGGGTTTAGATTCTTTTTTCAGTGTCATAACATTACTGTTCTCACTACATTTTTTTCCTATTTTTATTCCTGTTATGTAGCACATTTCCTTTAAAGCAGAAATAGTGAATGTATAACATTTTTTACATGATTGAGAATAACTTACTTTGTTATATAACTCATTTAAATAAGAAAGTATATGATTTGTCCCAGTAGCCCATTTCTTGTGATGTTGCCATGCTCCATTTACTTTCTTTATCTTACACTATCCTATTTCCTATGCTATTTATTACATGAAGTAACAGAAAACAAAGAACGTCATAAAAGCAGACATAGACAAAGGCTCTGTTCAACCGCTTTCTATTTTAAGTAAAGTAATTATCTTCAAAAGTTTAACTGAGCATAACAAGGTGATTTCATTTGCAATTTCTAACATAATTACACCTCATCTACTGTTGTAATCCATTCATATGTTTTCAAAATAATAATCCAGCAAATGTTTCTCTTATAATTGCCTTTCCCTACAAAGTATTCTGACTGGAAAGAATAGTGCTGTTTATTACCTATCTGATGCTAAAGAACACCTTTACAGAGTCCACAAATGGAGAATTCAGCGCCAGCAAACTAATAAGCCCCAATGACAGCAAAGGGTTTATTTACTAAAGCTGGAGAGTGCAGAATCAGACTCACTTCTGCATAGAAACCAATCGGCTTTGAGAATTTATTGCCAAAGCTTAACTGAACAAGCTGAGATTAGAAGCTGATTGGTTTCTATTCAGAAGTGAGCCTGATTTTGCACTCTCCAGCTTTAGTAAATAAATCCCCAAACACCAAGTGATGCTGGAGGTCCTGACCAGGGCTGCTGAAACCATAGCATATCTCTTTTGCAATAAGTTTTCACAGTTTAGCACAGTTTTCACAGTTTAGCTCCACTTCAAAATTTTCTGAATCACTGACCCAGAGCAAGAGTGCAGATAGAAAGTCAGAATGAAGTCAGATCTCCTAATCTCTCTACTTGTTTCAGGCTTCTGCAACAAAAAGTATTAAAACAACTGGATCAGCATGACAGACAGGCAACTGGCATTTTTTAAAGTTGAGGTGGACAATGGTAATCGTCATTGTCCTTTCAGTATAGCTTTCTGTTAGGAGCATTAAAAAAAAAAACTTAAAAAAATCACATTACTTTAATTGTTGTCTTTCTTAAGCTAGAAATACACTAGTAGAGTTTCGAACGAAAATGAACGTTGATGTCAGTATTCAAAATGCAATTGTATGAAAGTTCTCAGTACATTCAATGACTTGACAAATATTGTTCAAAAGCTTCAAACTTTCATTTGCTTTTAACATTCTATTTTAGAATGAATATAATTTAGAATGAATATAATTTCCCAAGTGAAAATCACACACAAAAAAATGTGTTCTTTTGAGAAAAATTTACCATCCTGCTCCTTCAAATGTTCTCATCACTACATTCAAAAAAGATTGTTGATTTGACCCCACTATATAATCGAACAAAATTCTACCAGCATATGGCCATCCTAAAGAGGATCTGCACCCTAGAAAAAAAATTAAAAGCTACAAATACTGTAGTTACTGTTGTTTAATAAAAGGACACGTATCTGTTTTGGGTTTCAGTGCAATCCTCACCCGGGTCAGTTCTTCACCTGTCTTTGGGTCCCTGGCGCCAGCACGTTTACTGTGGGAAGCCGGCTATGACTTCTTGCTGCTTTCCACTTCACATGCGCTTTGTGAATCGTTCCACAGCCTTCTGGGACCTATGAGGCGTGTCCCTAGAAGGCTGTAGGCAAAGAGGGAGGGACCAAACATAAAAAATAATTTAATGTGCCAAATATGACAGAGGAGGAGAAAGAGGACGTAAAGCCAAACTTTCCCTTTAGGAGAATTATTATTTTGATAATTATTTTGTTGCCTTAAAATACTTAGGACTCAGTGGGAGGAATTCTGTCTGCACATACCCCTATCAAAGAGAGCCATGTCCTCCTGAGAATTAGCAGTGGCCACACTTGTCACCAATTTTTTTTTTTTTTTTCATGTGCTGCATATGGAGCCCATCAACAATAAAAGATTTATCACACAGAGAGATGCTTTATTTTCCCAAAGTAATATTGCAGTTATAATATGAAGGCTTCATGCACATTGGACGTTTTTGCAGCTTCTAGGGGCGTCAGGCGTTTTTTTCCTGCTTCTAAACTGCCCTGCATGTTAGCTTTTAGCAGCAGGGGTTTTTAGAGGCAGGAAAAAAAACCCCAGTGCTATTGCGTCCAGAAGCAGCAGAGTTTTGGCAAAAAAAAACTCTTGACTTATTATTCTGGCCAATGTAATGAATTAACACCCAAGTGCTTGACGCCTGTAAGTGCGTCTAAAAGTGTTACAAAGTTTTACAAGCTTCAGGTGTTTTTTTTGCCAAAACGCTGCTGCCAGGAGGAAAGACTTCTAGAAGAGTCTGCAAAATGTCCTGTGTGTGTGAGTCTGAAAAATTATATTAAAACCTCAGCTTTTAAGTACTTTCAGCAGATAACTTAACCAGTTAAGGAGTACGCAACTTTATATTTTAATCCTTGCCTGTGTTCCATTTTAGGCTGGTGCTATGACCTCTGCCCCAGGTTTTCTACTTCAGGGTGGTTCCTTTTTCTCTTAGCATCCTATGGAGCCACCCTTGCATGCAGGGACCAGAGTTGCATGTCCCTACACTGATTTCATCAATAGAAACACACAGCTCTGCAGCCTAGGATGGAAAGACACTCTCCTGTTCCTCTCCCCTTTTTTTTCTCCAAGTTGACTGTTACTATACTGCACTATCCACTGTCATATGTTGCTGAGCACATACACACTGGAGTGCCGCTTCTGCAACTGCCACAGTGGATTACAGTTCTTGGTACCTGGCCACATTGAGCGACCGGGGATCATGTGATCACATAGCACAATGTCAATAAAGTTGTTATGAATGAACTTCCTATAGCAATGCTGTGATTGGCCCACAGCTATCACATGGTACCTGGGCCAATCACAACACCCTGTACCATGTGACAGCTGTAGGCCAATCACAGCATCACTAGAGTAAGTACAGCTGTTAGGAATGAAGTCCATTCATGACAGTTCAAACTGTTGCTGTTACAGTGATCATCACTGTAACAGCAATGACAGCGTACAAAAATAACCCCTGATCATCCCCCAGAGGAGTACAGTGCTACTATGGTGACACTGAATTAGCAAAGTGTCAAGGACCAGGGAAAGTACTCCAATATATATGTTAAGAAACACAATCTACATCAATATGTCAGGCCTTGCTGTCTTCAAACGACTAGGGTAGTCCAAATAGTAACTGCAAAGAGACAAACAGCTCACCAGCCTAGTCACTAGTGCATTATCCCAAGGATAGTTTAATAAAAATTAGATAAAAACATACTCACAATGTGTTTAAAACAGCAAATCAGGGTGCAGCCTCATGATACAATGGTAAATTAGACCAAGAGAGATCTCAGACACCAAAGAGACGCTGTCCAGGATCCAAGAAATAGCCTACACGTTTCGAGGGAAAACCCTCTGAGGGCTCTGAGGAAGAGGGGTTTCTCTTGAAACATGTAAGCTATTTCTTGGATTCTGGGAGGTGTCCCTTTGGCATCTGAGATCCTTTTGGGTCTAGTTTACCAGCCTAGTACATTATCCCAAGGATAGTTTTTAATAAAAATTAGATAAACAAAATACAATGTGTATAAAACAGAAAATTAGATCTTTTTGGGTCTAATTTACCACTGTACCACGAGGCTGCAGATTGATATGCTGTTTTATACACAATGTTTGTGAGTATGTTTTTATCTAATTTTTATTAAACTATCCTTGGGATAATACTGGTGTGCTTTTTGTTTGTTTATTTGCAGTGACACTGAACTACTCTGATGAAAGTATATGAAAAAAAAAATTCAATACATTTTGAAAAAAAATTTTTTTTTTATTACACACTGTCACCAGTCAGTATCCCTGATTACCACCAAAACAGTCATATGATGATGCTGTACTGCACTGTTGCAGAATGTAAGGAAAAAATATATATTTATTTTCTTCATTTTTTTTTTAAATTGTGACAAAAAATTACAACTTTCCATGCCTCATGCTAAATACCTTGGTCTGTCTACTTTCCGAAAAGGGGCAGCTGACGCTCTCCAGTGCTCTGGGATGTGGGCAGGCTGTCATTGGTCCTGCATTGTACATGATGACGTTGGAATACTTGCAGCTGGTGAGAAGATGTAGGGTACCAGTTGTTCAATGCAGAGTAAGCCTGAGGGTGCGAGGAATAAGGTAAATATAGCTGCATTGTTGGTACATGTGGGTTTAGAGGGACAATGAGCTCAACAGGAGGAACATTGGTTGGTGTGGGGGATGTTGAGAACATCCCCCGCCCACCAATGTTCCTCATGTTGAGCTCATTGTCCCTCTAAACCCACATGTACCAGCAATACAGTAATCTGTGTCCTACACCACTGATCTTACTCCACATCCTCCTGCTGCCAGAACGTATTGTCAGCCAGAGTTCACTCTGCTGGACAGTTTCTGCATACTGTATAGCTAGAGCTGCCTATTCCTCTACCCCTTTACTAAATAAACATTTAACCACTGCTGGGGAGGGGGGGGTCACTGCAAAGGTCATTTTTATTTTTTCCGTTAACCCGAAGTTTAAACACTGGTATATTTATGTTAGACCTTTTACATAAACTTTTTTTCAGGATATATTACCCCTTTAAATGTAACATATAATGCTGTAAGATGTATAACCGTTATTTGTGAGCATTACAGATAATATCTGTTTGTTGGCTTGCAGCAAAGTATTTCCCAAGCTGAATGTCCACATTCCAGATGACATCATCCGTAGGTTGATTGCCAATACACCAGGAGTTATTGAGCCAATTCTATATACTCTGCGACAGAAGATCAATGAAAGACTGCAAGATAAGAACCAGAGAGAGAACAATGAACACCAAGTAAAGGTCCACTTATTATCTGGTTGAATTTGTGTGACATTCTGTGCTCTATAAATCATAATTTGTAAATGAATCAGAGCTGAAGCCTTAAGAAAATCTATTTTTTTGAGCAGGCATTATATCAAGTTTTCTGTGCTAATTTATCCAAATGAGAATTACAGAATGGATATAAAGCACTCGTTTACGTCTGTAATCCTATTTTACATGTACTTGTGATTTCTTTTGAATGTGGTCTGCTGCAGGACCTGCAAAGTTCCTTGCAGCTTGTAGATGGGGTCACTGATAAATTATTCTGAAGAGTGTTTAATGGCTAGATAGCATCATAACCATGTATGTTGCTGATCCTTTTCTAACGCATTTTAAGAGGTGGGTTTATGTTCTCTTTTGAACCCAACATACAAAAATACTGTCTACTGTATACAAAACAAAAAAATAAAAGTGCTACACCCCAGTTAGAAGTTCATACCAATGACCCGGCAGGTGCAAAATTCACAGTTGCTTGTCTGCTGAAGAACTGTGAAAAAATCGATCCGCACTACCGCCACTGCACTAAAATCTTCTTTATTGTATCGACCACAAAAAATGACACGAAAGATACAATAGGTTGACACATTTCGGCTACACTTATAACCCATATGGTAACATAAAACATACAAAGTGTGTATATATAGGGTGGTAAAGACATAAACCCTGCCCATTAATCAGCCGATTAGCTATATAGCTAAGTATGCAATAGCTGATATATAGGTAACCAACAGACTAAAACACCACACCAGACAAGATGTGCAAAATATTAACCAAAAACATAACTGATAAAAACATAATATGTATATGTACTTGCACAAACAAATGTCCCAGGGGGAATAGAAGAGAGAGGATAACTACAGACCTTTACAAATAAGAAAAAAGGATCCTCCAAATCTAAAAGCGGAAAGGTGATCCAAGAAAAAGCAGAAGAAAGATCTAGTGCAAATGCAAATCTAGGTCCCACCTCACGTTTAACCCCTGAGGGGATCTAGTTTGTAGCTTAAAAATCCACCATGCTTCCCTTCTTCCCTGTCTACTGTATGTATAAATGTAAGGTGCTTATTGATGTTGGTAAGTAGCAATATAGTGCTTGCCAAGGCCATATAATATCATTAAACATTTTTCCTCTATATGTGCCACTGTAGTAGTTAATCATCAGAAGAAAGAAACTTGAGCACGTAGTTAATCATTGAACTAACCAAGAATGAAGTCCTGCAAGTGCTAGGTTTATTGGGAGCTGTCACATGATTATTTTCAGTCATGTGACACATGCACTGCGGCAGTTAGGGAGGTGTACAATAGTAAGTAACTTTCTGGAAGAGACACGGGACTATAAATTGTGAAATTATGAAAGTGGCAATAATGCAATAAAGATGAATGATCAATCCAAACATCCCCAGTAAATTGTTTAACCTTACATAGGTGGGGAGAAGTAACTACAGCACGTCATTGGGCTCATTCCAAGTAGCATGGAGTTGTAATCTAGACCCTGAGACCTCTATTGTTATAGGGCCATTCTCATCTGAGGCTTATTTAACCCAATCAGGCAAGACTAAAGCCTTCCCTGTGTCCACAAGTACCTCTGTGTATACTGTGGACTTTTTATTTGTTTATTTGTTTGCACACAATTACTAGGCCAGTTTGCTCTCAAAGGCTCTGTCAGGGTCCTGTTCACGGCAGAAGTTCTGGAAGATCTGGCATTTCTGCCAGTACTCTACATGGCCACAGAAGTAAACATCATCCTCAGTCTGGTGCCAGATGGCCTTTATAAGGAGGTTCATCACTTTCCCTAGTTGCTGGATGATCTCTAGCTCCCCATGCCCTGTTCCTGTTTCCTGTGATTCTGACATGTGATTTCCTATTACTGACTCGGTCCTGGCTTACGGACACTCTCTCTCTCTCGCTCCTCTGTGAATGACCTCAGCTATCCCATCTGACTACATCCGCTCTGATTTCCACCTGGTACCTGACCTTGGCTTGAACCAACTACCCAGTAGGTGCCTCCTGTCTGCAGACCTATCTGCGTGCACCAGCTGTGCTTCTGAGCGGACCACCAACCAGCACTCCTACAGGCGACCTGTGCAACTTTGGGCCTGACTCGCTGTCCCACTCTCAGGGGAGTCCGGAACTTAGCCGCAAGGAAGGCCCTCTCTCCATTGGCCTCCATCACCAGGTACGTGATAGTATCATCCAACTAGTATGTCCGAGGCCGAGAGAGGCACTTCCGCACTAGAGGCCCTGTGCCAACAGATGACAGCACTTACCCAAGCAGTAAAGGATCTACAGCAAGGATACTTCCAGCTAGAAGGGCGTCTTCACTCCCTCTCTACTTCCGCGGACCAGGATCCCTCCGCCAGTTCCAACCCAGTATCCGCACCTGCCAGTCAGTCTCTTGCCACCACTCCTGCTATAGTGTTACCACCTCCGGAACCCAGAGTTCCTATTCCTGAACGTTTTCTAGGGGATCGACGTAAGTTAAGAGCTTTCAAGAATGCCTGTGAATTATATTTTGCTCTGCAACCCAAGACCTTTTCTCTGGAAGCGGTCAAGGTCAGGTTCATCATCTCCCTCTTGTCTGAAGAACCTCAGTCTTGGGCACATAGTCTTTTGGAACAAAAGACCCTAGCGCTCAATTCAGTGAGTGAATTCTTTGAAGCCATGGCTGCCCTCTACGACGATCCCCAGAGGACCTCCACTGCTGAGTCCGCCTTCCATGCTCTACTATAAGGTCGGCGGCCTGTGGAGGACTACATAATGGAGTTCTGTAAAAGGTCTGCAGACACTGGTTGGAACGATGCAGCATTGAAGTACCAGTTTCACGAAGGACTGTCAGAGTCCCTCAAGGACGAGTTAGCTAGGGTGGAAGCTCCCTCCTCCTTGGAGAACCTTATCCTGCTCACTACTCGGTTGGATCGCGTTTACGGGAAAGACGCGCTGAGCGTACTCAGACCTTTCGGCCCACTTGGGTTCTGCCAAAAGTTCCAGGGCCAACAGCTGCTGCCCTTGCTCCACAACCCATCAACAATTAAGAGGTAGAACCTATGCAAATCGGCCTTCTCCGACCTGCCCTAACTCCGGAAGAAAGGCTACGCAGACAGCAAGGCAACCTCTGTCTTTACTGTAGGGCTACGGGCCACTTCGTGCATAACTGCCCAGTACGCCCAAGTAAGTCCAGCCAGCCCCATTTTTCGTACCTTCAGCTATCCGGGACTTTAACCACCCATGTCATTCTCCCCATGTCATTGCAGGTGGCTGAAAGGGACGTCAAGTTGTGGGCAGTCGTTGACTCGGGAGCTTGTAGCTGTTTCTTAGACATCCAATTGGCCAAGGACTTACACATCCCTCTTCTGCCTAAGAAACAGAGACTTGACGTCTTACTTGCGGATGGCACTACTCCGAGTTCCGGACCTGTTACCCAGGAAACCATTCCTATTCTTGCAACCACCGACTCCGGCCATCAGGAGTTTATTCGTTTTGATGTGATCAGATCCCCCATGTTTCCAGCCATCCTAGGAATACCCTGATTGCTTGCCCACAACCCACAGATCAGTTGGCCCAAGAAGGAAATTTTCTTTTCTTCAGAATATTGTCTACAACACTGTGGTGTCCCTACACCCACAAATTCTTCTGTATGTCTCTCAGTCCAACCTTCACCAGAGGCCAGTCAATCAGTTCCCTCTACCTACCATGACTTCCTCGATGTGTTTGATAAAAAGAAGGCAGACACATTGCTTTCTCATTGGTCTTACGATTGCGCAATTGAGTTACTCCCAGGGGCAGAAATACCATTTCTCAATTTTCCCATTATCCGAACTGGAACTGAAAGCCCTCCGGCACTATCTAGACGAGAATCTTGCTAAAGGTTCATTCCTCTCCTGCCGGGACTAGTATTTTCTTTGTAGAAAAAAGGATCGGTCTCTTAGACCTTGCATTGACTACAGGGAACTTAATAAAATTACCATTAAAAACCGTTATCCTCTTCCTCTGGTGCCCGAGTTGTTTCAGAGATTTCAAACAGCCCCAGTGTTCACTAAACTGGACTTACGGGGGCCTACAATTTTGTCCGTATAAGAGAGGGCGATGAGTGGAAGACCACCTTCAGAACACGCTTCGGACATTTTGCATACCTAGTAATGCCGTTTGTGCTATGTAATGCCCCTGCTACATTTTAACATTTTGTGAACGACATCTTTAGAGAGTACCTTGATCTTTTTGTGATCGTCTACCTGAACAATATCCTAATTTTCTCTGCCTCACTGGAACTCCATCGTTCTCATGTTAGGAAAGTGCTGACACTAATTTCCAGTCTGTAGTGGGGGGTGAGAAGATTTAGTTTTATTTGCCTTGAGGAGACCCCCTCTAATGGGCATATTCTCTTATCTGACCCCTATATGTGACTCTCTGGAACAGACAGTTCCCAAATCACTGGGGAATCTGTCTGTTGGGTTTTGAACCAATGTTCACTAGATGTCACTTGGGTGCTGCAGAACCTTCACTAGATATCACTTGGCTGCTGCAGAACCTTCACCTCTGGAAAGGATACAGAACTTTCCCTGTGACAGACCAAGTGATTTACTCCCTACACTGGAAAGGAATGAGTGTGTCAATCATGCTTTCCCAGAATCATGGTATGGCTTTTAAAATCTCAGTGGATGATCTCTTCTTAAAAGAAAGAGTTCAGCAATCAGTGCCCCTCTTTCCCAGCTTGGAGTAAAGTATTCATTGCTGGAGGGTCCTGTAATACCCAGCAGTCAGCAGACAGGACTCTCTCATTCAGGGAGTGTACTTTTTTTCCATCTGTTTTGGTTGGTTGTTGGTTCTCACGTCTTCATTGGTTGAGCCCTACCATTCCTTCAGGTTTCAACTTCTCCTTAGCAGTGGTCATCTGTTTTCCTCTGGAACATCCGGCTCATCCTCGGTAAATCACCTTGGTCTTAACAGTTCCCTTAATTTGTGTGGCATTTTCTTTATCCAGC